AAAGACACCGTAAGACAAAGGTCCCAACAGCGTGAATCAGATGGTTTATCTCCAGGTACCCACTTCTCCACCTGACAAGTCCAGTAAACCACCAACACCAGTTAATGCAGACGTCTGTCTGGATTCCCCACTTACCTCGAGTCCTTTTAGGGCCACAGAGTCATTGTGGCCTTTTCTCAATGTTCGGCCACTGCAAAAAACCTGTGTGCAGTTCCAAGGCTGCTAACTACCTGACCCGCGAGTGTTCTTAAGCTGTGGAGAACGGAACATGGACATGGAAGTTAGAACACGGAAGGTGGAACGTGGAGAGTCAGTGAGGCCTTCTGGAATATGCAAATGACCATTCAGAGTGAGTTATTTTATGGAGAGGTATAACTTTATTTGCATTGCTCTAAAAAATATGGTTGTACGTTTCATTTGTTTTTAGCTGATGGAGCCATCTGCTTACTTGAATTATGTTTTTGTTTCTTTGTTTGAAAAAACATAGATGGAGGAGCCACAAAATTCAACATGGACCATTTTGTTGGGGCATGAACGTCTTTTTTCACATTTCCAAAGTACTCATGGACACGCAGCCCTTCAGTATTGTGGATGATTCAGGGCATTTGTGTCCAAACTGGATCCTCATCATGTTCTCCCTACAAGGCAGGTATGTGTGGGTGCATGAAACACATGAGTACTTCATTTGTCTCACAGTTCAGCACTAGATGTGTTTTCCTTAAGCTCCTGCAGGCCGTGGTGGAGGCTGAGTAGGAGTCAGCTAAGAGAAGGCTAAAGTGGAAAAGGTGGCTGGCCGTTAGCCTAATTTCTGACATGTGAACATCCATCAGTATGGATGCCTACCTGGCTGTAAGGTGCCACTTTGTGGGGGAGAAAACCACACTGGGTCCAGTGCTTCCCCCGATCACACACTGCTGAACATATAGCTCGTGTGAAAGCCTCCCTGATGGAGGAATGGGGAATCGATCATAAGGTGACGTGTGTGGTCACTGATGGTGCTCCCAATATGGTTTCCTGTGTGAGAGCTGAAGCTTCGCCACCATATTTTATGTTGCACACTGAATCTGACAGTGAAGAAGGGACCTGAGCAGCAGCCGGTGCTCTCTGGCATCCGGGCCAAAGCACGGAAGCTGGTTGGCTTCTTTAGGAGCAGCACCACTGCTAAGGTTTGCTCTTTCCCTTTATCCCAATTTCTAATAACGCTGAGAGTTTGTCTGTGTTCCTACTGCAGTGAGTCAATGGCTACTCATCTGTATCTTTAAAGGAGAAGCTGACACAACTTCATCTGGGGACGGCAAACATGAAGCTAATGCAAGAAGTGGAGGCCAGATGGAGCAGCACATGTTGGATGCTGCAGCGTTTGGTGGAGCAAAGGGAGCCAGTAGGAGCAACATGACATCACCTTCCTAACAGCAGAAGGGTTCCACATTGTTGGAGGGTGCCTTTCTTTGCTGTCTCCCTTCTATGATCCACTGTAGAGCTGTCGGCAGAGGACAATGTGTCTGTCTCCAAAGTCGTCCCCCCCGTGAAGATGCTGGAGCACACCCTTCAGAAATAACAAAGCCGGCACCTGCAGCAGCATTGGGAGTGTGAGACCAGCTCATCAGGCCACTCCGGGAGAAGCTGTACACTTTGTAGTCCATGAGCATCATGTCAGGGGGGGGGTCGGCTCACTGAGTCCTGAGGCCCTGCATCCGGTATCATCTGCCACTGAAACATACGTCCGGTCGCCCGGCCTGCACCAGAGGACCACAGAAGGGAGAGGAGAAGCGCTTGATGGCCGCTGACCAGGCGTGAAGAACTCATCGGGGGGGGGACGCTCTAACGGGCAAGACAGACACGGTGCTCCTGCTGGGGGCGAAGCAGCATTAGCACGGTGCACTTACGTACCCCATTCTCATAATATGTTCCTGGGCAGATACTGTACGTTAGGAGACCCCTAAATGGATCATTTCAAGCGTTTGGGTCCTGATGACTGATCAGAAAGACCCACAGGGAGCCTCAAACCCTGAATCTACGTTCCCACTCACCGAGGCCTCTTCCACACCACGCGTCCCATCCTGTTGGCGTGGTGGGACGGCGAGTGGTCGATGGCGGGGAAGCGGGGGTCTCAAAGAGCAGGCCACTCTGCAAGCACTGCCTCTCCAGGGTGGAGTACCGCTGCCCGTCCAAGGCCTTCAAGTGAACCTTCTGCAGCCCTGAAACGACCAGGAAGGACCGGACTTCAACATGGAACAGCACACACATGGTTACGCATCACAAACGCTGCGTTCCATCACACAATACTGGTTTCTATAGAAACAGGGAGGCAGCTTCCCTCCCTGCGCTCACTCACACACACAGCAGGATGACATACAAATCCAGCTTTTTAGACCTCAACAGTGGAAGCCCTGTTGGAATAGGAGGTGGATTTGTGCTGCTGCCTCGAGCCCGTCTGGATTCACATCACATCTGCGTTCAATTCCAAACAAACCTCCTTCTGTTTTATATTAACCATTATATGGTTTAAAGGATTCATGGGTTCATGCATTAGCATCATCAACAGAGGTGTCAAGTAACCAAGTACAAATACTTTGTTACTGTACTCGAGTAGAAATGTTGGGTATCTACTTTACTGCAGTATTTCTTTTTCAGACCACTTTTTACTTCTACTCTTTACACTTTCACGCAAATATCTGTACTTTCTACTCCTCACATTTTAAAAACAGCCTTGTTACTTCCGGCTTGTCGCAGTTCAACAACACAAAGACAAAAAAACGAGATAAATCCAGATAAACGTCGCTATGCGGACAGTGAGTGTGATTGTGGTTGGATGAGAATATAAACATTTAGCATCCAGACACCCGGTTGGTTTTCTCCTCCTCCTCTTCCTCCCCCTCTTCCTCACGCAGAGTCCATGTAACGTTAGATGAGCATCTTCATGACCGTGGGTTTGTCCTAAATGTTTGATTGAGAGTCCGGCACAACACAGCGACTTGCAAGCAGCGTATTAAATAAAGTGACGTGTGTCTTAATGCGGCTTTGGAAATGAACACAAAGGGATTCTGTATTTGCTCGTGAAGCCTGAACATTCTGCTTATGTTGTAAACTTGTAAATATAGTCAAGAAGAGTGCTTTGCAAAGGCGTCTGTTCTCTAATCTCTGTGCTGCTGAGGGAGAAGAACACACTGGGCTACTGGACCATTCTGAGGGGCGACGGCTTTCACGGGGAACTACGCAAATCTATTGGGGAGTTTTTACTTTTCCAAAAGCGCACAGAGCTGGCTGCACTTTTCACTGACAATGTGTCACCAAACTTTCATATCTTGCTGACGTTTTCGCTGAGTTGAACCAACTAAACAGTTCCATGCAAGGTGGCAATACACACGGCATCAGCTGTGTGACAGAATGGAAGGCTTTCTCATCGGGGAGGGAATATATAGCAAAAATTTGCCCCCAAAAGAAGAAATAAGGCGAAAATATTGAAGTGTATTGACGTTCTCTTCTTACAAGAAACTCACAGCGACAGCACCAACGAGGCCGACTGGAGGAGGGAAGTCCTGCTGAGCCACAACACCAACCTCAGTGGAGGAGTGGGCTTCCTCTTCTCCAGGTCCTTTAATCCACCGTCACTGGAGGTCAAACACATCATCGAGGGGAGGTTGTTCTTAGTCAAGGCACGGTTCCACCTTTTTACTGTTGTTTTTATCAATGTGCTCCAACAATCGGTGCAGAGAGGAAGCTGTTTCTACGAAAAAAGTGATAATGTTTTAAATGGCTGTGCCCCGGAGGGTTTTTTATTTTTGGGGGGGATTTTAACTGTATGGAAAATGATTTGAAAGACCGTAATCAGGCAGAGCCACATCTTTAGTCTGATGCGTGTCTCCTTGCAGGCGGCTGGTGGATCACCAGCTGGGTGACATCCGGTCGGACTCGGTGCCGTCAGAGGTTCGGGACTGGCTGGCTTCCACTTTCACCCGGCAGACGGTTGTGATGCTGCGCCGTAACGAGGACAAGCCACGCTTCCGCAGCATCGTTCATGCAGTGCAGGCCGGCATCTTTGTGGAGAGGTTTGGCTTGTTTGGTGTATTTGATGCAACAGTCATGTGGAATATTAGGCCCTTCGTAGTTGTTTAGTCATGATGTGTGATGTTTGTTTCAAGGTTTTCCCATTTAACATGAATGATATAACACAGATAACATAAAGGGTTCATTGGTAATAATAATAAAACTCTGCATTATCCTCGTAGCTGAATAGGGTACAAACATGGTGGACTCCACTGGGTGATTGTTTGCTGTTGATGGTCAAAGCCAGCAGGGATACGCGTTACTTGTACGTGGTGCAACTAAGCCAATCAAATGTCCTCTTAGCTCAAACTAACCCGCTGACTGAAACCATGCTAGCTGATCCAGCTTAATGTCATCAACTGGAACCAGACGTCAGTCATCAGGATAATTGTGTGTCCGCGTCCTACTTCAAAAGGGGGAAGAGTCGATCAAATCAACTCAAAGGAAGAGGCTCTTTTTTCTCCGCTGACGAGCAGGAGGGGATCATGAACGCACCATATAGAACCAGGAGTTTGAATATGTGTGTGTGAATCAGCATGTATGTGTGTATTCCCTCTATTCTTATCATGAGTCCACCTTAATCATATTCTATAAAGATGATAAGCTCCGTAATGAATAGTGATAGGGAACGCCTTTTCAATAAGTGATGAAACACTGACTGACTCAATTACCTGCAGTTCCATAAAAGCCCTCTTTGATTGCATTTACTGGGACATCGGCAGGGAATGTAATGAACCATCCAGAAGTTTCTCAAGCACCAAATAAACTTCAGGAACAGCGCGGCGTGCAGCGGCTTTCCCCATGTTCTCCGCATCCCAACAATGTACACAAATGCACCGTTGAGACACATCGTCCTGCCTGGAATGCAAGGACTTGATTGGTCGATTGGTATCACGTGGGACGACTTAACTCTGGACATAATGGCGAGGGACACTTGTTAGGATTTTATCAGCTACTGTCCATACTGCTTATCGGTCAGGTTCCTTATTGATACGATATGAATTATTTAGTCACAAATAGAAGATAATAAAAAATCCACATGCTTAATTGATTCCCTGTTGCTGGTAGCGTGAAGGGACTTGATGTGGGACCAGGAACGGTAGAGGGGGGGTTGGACGTGCTGGGTCATAGCTGCAGCCTCAGCCCAAAAACTCTCCATCACCAAAGCCATTATCTTAAGTTCCTCTCTAAGTTTTTTTGTCTTATACAGAGAACTCTTCCCTTGAACTCAGCCGTCCACCTTTTAAAGCATGTCCACAAAAATAAGAAAACAGTATCCAGTTCAGCAAAAAGGGACAAGTTGTGAGACGCTGTAAGGACACAGAGTCAAGGACCTAATGCTCAAACATAGATATTCAGATTATATTAAAAGCCCCAGTGGGCGATATTCCACTGGAGTCAGTGGAAGTGGTGGTGGATGATTAGAAGTCTTGTGAGTTTACAATCAGCCAATTAAACGTTAAACATTGAACCGTCCAAAACCGATGCTCAAAAGGAACTTAAAGCATCATCATTTTAGGCTTCCTCTAACACACTAAGGAAGCATCGCTATTTGACCAGTAATAAGCAAGAATATGTGCACTGTGTATTTTAAAGCTTGGCCAATGTGGTCTCCAGCTTCTTGCTGTACAGAAATAGGACTGTGACATGAAATAAACAATCATGCAGAAACTCAGAAGACTGAAAATGTGACCAAGTTATTGTGACAAGACCCACTGCTTACGTATAACCTATTGCTAATGTAAAGTCTGCAGAGAGGAGACTGTGACACTGTGTTATGGAATGTGACTGTGTTATATCTCTGTGACAGGATGTACAGACGGACCTCCAACATCGTCGGTCTTAGTTATCCACAAGATGTCATCACTGTTCGTAAAGGGATTCATTTGTGTTTGTTTAAAGTAGAAAGGTTATGATCAGGGAAGGGAAATGAAATTGGTCCAAGTACAAAACCTTGTGGGACTCCGTGACCAACATTGGTGGTCATCAAGGTTTCACCGTTTACAAACACAAACTGGGATCGATCTGATAAATACGACATAAACCAGCTGAATGTGGTTCCATTTGTGTGGAATATTGCTATATTTCTTCAGCAGTAACATATAAACTGATCTCAACACACAAATCCATAGATTTTGCAGGTGCAGGATAACAAAAGAAGCTAGAATTCAATAACGAGTTCCCAGTTGTTAAATTCTATATCAGTACAAAATCCTCCAGACTAAATTGTAACTGGTGTTTTTATGTTTTCTTATCGATGGTACCTTAACAAAGGAATGCTAGAAATGAACAGTTGAACCGTTATGTGGACATTCACGTGCTAATAAAGCTTCTGTGTGTCTTTTCTAGCATGTGGACATGTGATCTTTTGATGTGTTTGCACTGAACGATGCTAGTGGGGACCACGCTCTGAAACTTGTCTTCTTTGAGCTATTCACCAGATATGACTTGATCAACCGTTTCAAGGTATGTCCATTTTGACAAGACGCTGTGTATGTAATGAGCACAATGTCAGTGACAGCAGAACTAAGTATCGATGGGAACGTACTGGGTTCAACAGAACAACTTCTCTGTATTGCTTCTACAATTCGGCAAAGCAACTGGTTGTTCCTTGTCTTCTGTTGAAGGTCCCTGTTTGTGCCCTCATATCCTTCGTGGACTCGTTGGAAGTGGGCTACAGCAAACACAAGAATCCCTATCACAACCTGACGCATGCGGCTGATGTCACACAGACCATTCATTACCTGCTCCTCAAGACCGGCATGGTGGTACGTTCAGGGTTGGGTAAAAGCACAATGCAATACGCTTTTCAAAAGTGCCTGCAGACTTCCTCAGTGGATCTTACAAGTCACTCATCACAGCTTTCCTACCTCAAAATCCAATCGGGACAGGATGAATGATGACTGACAGGTAGATAATAATGATGCAATAGCAAAGTTAGTGTTGTCTCTGACTGTAAATGGATGAAAGGCTGCATGACAAACTGGAGCTTTAAGTGACTTTGGTGACTTTTATTGATGTAGGTTGTTACAGCAAAGAAAGAACAACTGAAGAAAGAGTTCAGTGAATCAGTAAAGACAAAACATAGATTTAAATCATGGTTAAAACCTAAATGAGACTCCTTCTCAGGTAACCAAGGCCGCAATAAACAGAGGCCCACGGGGCCTTTTTCAAGCCCCTCCCCCAAACACAAGCACCACCCAACTTAATTCGTGTTGAAATATTGCATCAACAATCCCTCATGCCGGCTGTCTAGGGACTATAGCAACACCACATGTACAATGCAGACATTGTGTTATTAAAAGGTACAAGCCCCGCCTCCACGTGCCCGTGGGTCACTACGGGGGTCAGAAAGCTGCATGGGGGCAAGGCCGGGGCTGGATGGGACTCGCCGTGAGTTGCTGAAGGGGATATCACACTTTCACCTTTCTGGGGAAAGACTATGCTGGGGAGGCAGTGACTCATATCACAGCATATGGAACCTTGGACTCAAGCAGAGTAGTGCTCATTCCGTCCCGGTCTTGGACCAGTGGACCAGCTCTTTACCCTCCCGAGACTACTGGGGGGGTCCTGGCAGTTTGCCCAACAAGTCTACATGTGCTTTGTGGACGGAGAAGGCTTTTGACTCTCCAGTTGGTGACTTTCATGGACAGGATGTCTGGGCGCACCCGGGGGTGGAGGACCTCGGGTCGGGGGTCTCCATCTCCTCTCTGCTGGTGCTGATGTGATGTTGTCCTGTTGGCCTCCTCGCACAGTGTCCTCCAGCACTCAGTGAGGCACTTTGCACCAGATCCTCTTGGTGAAGAGCTCTATTTGCTTTCATTTGAGTTGAGGTGCTACTGGAAAACAACCGAGGTGGTTCAGGCACACTGACAACTGGCAAAGAGACTCTGTGCTGTTTCACTTCCAGCAGGAGAAAAGCAGGACGGTTTTTAATCTTCATCTCCCGATTGTCACGTTCCTCCTCGACTGTCTGCCTCTCTCCTTCAGCACTGGCTCAGTGAGTTGGAGATCTTTGCCATCATTTTTGCAGCTGCCATTCATGACTACGAGCACACAGGGACCACCAATAACTTCCATATTCAGACAAGGTAATTCCCACGTAGCATCGTTTGTAGCATTTCAATCCCTGCAGTCTCTGAGGACAGTGGACAACACTGGAGCATGAAGAGATATCTAACAGGTGACCTAATAAAAAGCCTACTATGATTGATAGCAGCTTTACCTCATACATTGTTGGCATTATCACGATGACGGTGAGGGTGATCATTCCTGAAGTAGCCGTGTCGCATTTGCAGGTCAGACACCGCCATGTTGTACAATGACCGAGCTGTTCTGGAGAACTACCACGTCAGTGCTGCATATCGCCTTCTACAGCACAGTGTTATGACTGGGGTCATCTGTGTAGTGTTTGTGGGTTTCTTTTGGTGTCTTTTTGGTTTCTTTATTCAAACAGGGATGTGCCACCACCAGGCGCGGATTGGTGGACGGTCTCTCACTCGTCCTGTGATTGGCTGCAGCTCGGCATATAATGGAAGCCAAGATGGGCGTCTCGAGGCAGAGCAGACCAGAGCAGGGGAGAACAGCAGCAGAGCACAACCCTCGTCCTCCTCCTCTTCCAACCAGCCACTTGTAGCATACCGTGAAGCTGAATAAGTATTCTGTTTTTCTTTTGAGTTGGTTTTCTCCTGTTTTAAAGTAGTTAGGTAGGTAAGACTGATGTCATTATTTTTCTCCTTTGTTTTGGTAGGTCAGCGTCTTATTTTCTAGCTAGGTTCGTTTTTTGGTTTGTTTGTTATATTGGGGATGGGCAACGGCGAAGCCGTGGTTTGTCTTTGCCTCAACATACTGGGTTTTTCTCAACCTAGAGCTTTTTTTCAATAAATATCCCCTATACAAACTTAAAGTGTGTGTGGCTATTTGGGAGACGGGGAAGATTGGGGCCTATTCATGTTGCACCTTAGGCACCCCTAGACTGGGGCGTAACATGAATTGGGGGCTCGTCCGGGATAGGTAGGTCATGATGACATGAACATTGGGTCTAATCTCTCCAAAGACGAGTGGAGGTAAGAGAAGAGCGCTGCAGCTGAAGGGACGTCCTTTTTTACCGCTGTTTCCATTCAATGACTTCAAATAATAATTCACTGTACAATACAACCCCCAGATTACAGTGCAAGTCATTGCTTTCTAAAATACTGCCTCCTACTGGTGCTTAGAGGGGAGCTACACCTGATGATACCAGGGAGTAACACATCCACCTTATTTTACAGTCAAGCAGAATCAAATGACTCATTTTAGGGACAAGTTTGAGTAGTTTGGGGCAGAGTTGCATCGATGCTGGCACTGCAATTGCTGCAGAAAATATAGAAGTGACAGCAACAGGATGAAAAGCATCTCAGTCTCCTCTGATTAAACTTTACTCAAGCTGCATCTAAGATTCCTTCTGTAGGGAGCATGAATGTTTTACTGCCTGCGCTCTTTCAGAGAGCTTCGGGCTCTGGTGGTCGAGATGGTGTTGGCCACAGACATGTCCTGCCACTTCCAGCAGATCAACATGATGAAAAGCCACCTGCAGCAACATGAGGCGTGAGTGTTTCACGTCTGGGTCCGTCCCGCCTCATGCTGCCAGTCACTCCAGTCCTTCACAATGCTGAAACTATCAAACCATGATTGTTTCTGCTTTACAACCCTTCACGCGCCGCGTCCACTAACTGGACTGGACTTGCAGGCCCGACAAAGCAAAGGCCTCGTCCCTGCTACTGCACACTGCTGACATCAGCCACCCTGCCAAACGCTGGGACCTCCATCATCGCTGGACCACATCCCTTCTGGAGGAGTTCTTTAGACAGGTGACCACTTTGAATCAATGAGCGGCCTTTTCATTTATGCAGTACTCCACATGGCTCTGCACTAGTGACGAATAAGAAGAAGACAAAGTTTGGACCTAGTTTGTTTTCAGAGGTAAAATAAGCAGATGAGTACTCTGGGTGTAACATCAGATAAACCAGCGCTGCCGCTCGCAGCTCACCACCTGCTAACAATAGTTGATTGTATACATTCATTAGAATAAGGTTTAGTCTTTGTACATGTGAATTAGTAATGAGGTAGTAGAAGACGCTCAGCACCTTCTGGTGGACTTGTCCTCCAGTAGCAGGCAGTCAGTGGTTGTTCATGTGAGACAATGACTTAGGAGGAAGGCGTGTAGGGAGGGGAGGAGATGAACTGTGGCTGAAAACATGTCGACAGTCCGAATCCACTCAGCGAGGAAACATTACAACAACAGGATGATTGTACATGTAGTCTGAAGTGCTGAAGCAGCCATGTGATTGTCTGATTGTTTCCACCTGTGTCCAATGACCTGCACCTCCCTAGTGTATTTAAGCCATGTGTGTCACTTGTCGCGTCATTGTTGAATGTCCGGAAGTCCATGTCTGAGTTTCCCTGGTTCCTGTCGCCGTTTTTGCCCCTTTTTTGCTTTTGGATTTTTTTGACCAATAATGTCTCTTTGTTTTTTGAAACTCTGCGTTTGAGTCCTGCCTTTCCCGCCATCCTGACAGAATGACGCGACCTTTCAAGGACTCAGCAGAGTTTTTTCCCCAGAACCAGTTGTGGGGAACTCGTGGGAGAACGCCAGCTGGCTTCCTGGCAGACGCAGTCGGCTCTCCTAGCGTCCCGGGAAGGTGTTCGGGTCGCCGTTATCGCCGCCCGTCATGACAAGCTTAGCCTAACCGGAAATGACTTTGACATTAATGGCCAACAGTACCTACAGATTAGTGGAGCAGCCATGGCAAGACATTTGCCCCGGCCTATGCAGATATTTACATGGCCACTTGGGAAGAATCCATTCTCCCTTTGTGCGCCAAACGTCCCAGTCATTACTACAGCTATTTGGATGAAGTCTGGGTCTGGCCTCACTCAGGAAAGGAGTTTGACTTCTTCCTCCAGACCTTCAATTCACACCACCCGGTCATTAAACTTACAGCCGTCACCAACTAATTGGAGCTTTTTGGACTTTTTCACTTCAAGGGGCCCAACTTCTCATTGTCTCCCTTTAAATTAAAGTGTTTTTTTTTTTAAACCAACAGATTCACACTTATTGCTATATCGCACCGGTAACCATCACCCTCACGACTTCATTCTGAAGTCCCAATTATTCTCAGCCTGACCGCCCTCTGATGCATTACACCAAGAGACCCAGCTACTCCCGGATGGTCAGGTCAAAGGTCAATGAGATGCGGCCCATTGATGCCAGGGGGAAAGCTAGGAGACTGCAGCGCATCTCTCTGCGTCGCCGGAAATGAGCCCATGGTATAAAGTCCTCAATCCAACGGGTCTCCTTCATTTCAAACACGTATCCTTAACTGTTTCTGCATCACCCACTTTGTTCTGCTGACGTCCCTCTCCTTTTTCCCTTTTGGGGACTGCTACTCTAAATGACTTCTCACATCATTTCCTTATGTGTTTTTGGTTTTATTATTTAAATGTACATTGATGAAATTAACGTATAATACTGTACATATTATTCTGTATATAGTAGGCTTTCCTTATTGTTTTTCCTATTCAGTTATATTCTCATTTTGTGTCACTGCTGAATCTTCTCTCCTGATATTGTCTGAAATCATCTTGTCTAAATAACTCATTACAATGTTAACATTGAGTATTTTGTGGTTATATGATAATCAAATGTTTACATCTGATCTCCATCAGTTTACTGTAAAGATCCTGTAGTTGTACACAATGTGTCAGAAAACAGCTGGCTCTGCTAATTGTATTTAAGAACTGTGATGTGATTTATGATGTAGAGAGAGAATGTAGAATAGGAGATGATAACAAGAACTGTGCCAGTGGGCCTCCAGCAAAGTGCCTGTGACAGAGCCAGTGATGAGGTGGCGTGACAGGAAATCAGCTACGCTCATCAACGGCCTCACATGTGGATATCAGGACAGCATGAAGCCTGTAGAGCTAAACACACATATCTACCCACTACAGCTGTGGTCAAACGTTTACATACACTTGTAAAGAACATGATGTCATGGCTCTCCTTGAGTTTCCCCTTATTCCTACAAGTCTGATTTTCCTCTGATAGAAGTATCTGTTCCAATCACTCTGTCACAAAAACATTCATGAGGTTTGGTTCTTTTAGGACTTAATTATGGGTTAACAGAGAACATGAATCTGCTGGGTCATAAATATACATACATCAGTGATAATATTTGGTCACATGTCCTTTGGCCATTTTCACTTCTATTAGGCGCTTTTGGTGGCCGTCCACAAGCTTCTCGTTGAATCTTTGACCGCTCCTCTGGACAACAGAATTGGTGCTGTTCAGTTAGATGTGATGGCTCTCTGACATGGACTTGTTTCTTCAGCATTGTTCACATCCACCAGCACCAGATCCACAGGCAGCATAATACTACCACCACCGTGCTTGGCGGTAGACATGGGGGGTATTCCAGAAAGGAGGTTCAACAAACTCTGAGTCCATCCCTGAACTCCGAGTTGACTTACTCTGAGTATCCGCTTCCAGAACAGCTGATCTGCGTTAGTTCATTCATTTTTTGGTCTCGTCTGACCACAGAACTTTCCTCCAGAAGGTCTCATCTTGGTCCACGTGATCAGCAGCAAACTTCAGTCGAGCCTTAAGGTGGCGCTTTTGGATCAAGAGCTTCCTTCCTGCACGGCAGCCTCTCCGTCCATGGAGATGCCAAACACGACTGTGGACATGGACACTGTGTTCCAGCAGCTTCTACTTCTTGGCAGATCTGCATGTTGGTGGTTCTCTGTTGACTGTTCCCCCTCCTGACCAATGTTCTCTCAGCAGCAGGTGATAGCTTGTGTTTTCTTCCTGATGGTGACAAAACAGCGTCGTGCACTTTATACTTACAAACTACTGTTTGCAC